GGGAAGGGTCACAGGACACTCCCAGGAACTGGATTGACAGGTCCAGTAGCCTATCAGTCAAGTGCCTGCCCCAGTTTCCAGGGTTCTGGGCACACCCATCACCTGGGAGGCAGGGGAGTCACCTTCCCCCAGCATGAAGACTAGATACTAGACCGTACTATTCACCATGTGGCCAATGTGGTGCTGGCCAGCTCTCCCTACTTCAAACAAGGCCAGTCAAAGCCTACTTCAGTCTATCACCTGCTGGCTTTTCTTTTCTTTTCTTTCTTTCTTTCTTTCTTTCGTTCTTTCTTTCGTTCTTTCTTTCGTTCTTCCTTCCTTCCGTCCTTTCTTTCTTTTCCTCTTCTTTTTTTCTGTTGGTGGTAGTGGGGCCTGAACTCTGGGCCTAGACGCTGTCCCTCAGCTCTTTAGCTCAAGGCTGGCGCTCTACCACTTGAGCCACAGTACCACTTCCGGCTTTTTCTGCTTATGTGGTGCTGAGGAATCGAACTTAGGGCCTCATGCATGCAAAGCAAGCACGCTACCACTGAGCTACCTTCCCAGTCCCCCCATCACCAGCTTTCTAAGTGTTGAAAGCAAAACAACAACAAAAACAGAAACGCACCTTATACAAATAGAAAATCTTTCCTCTAAGAAGTTAATGAGTCATAATAATCAGGGAAGGGTGAGTAGGACATTGATTCTTTCATAGTTCAAATGGGGATGAAGTGGGGAAATGAAGTGGGGAAACAGAAGCTTGGGAAAATGGAGGAAGCAAGCCAAGTGGCTTATGTCTTAGACCAGCTGAGCATTTGTGGAATAACTTACATAAAGGTGTCATACCACGAAGTTTACATACATGCGTTCCTTATTTGACATTTACAGACTTTAAGAGAATCTTTCTTTTCTCTTCTTCAAACAGAATACCAGACTTAAAGATACTGGGTGACCATTAAAAGGCCACAAGTCTACAAAACAGTAGAAGTGATTTACAGATACAGGTATTTCTGATGCTAAGTTTCTTCCTTTTTCCACCAAGTTATGTTAACTTGATTTAGACATTTTTCGTAGATGGTTGCTTAGGACCATCTAGGAGAAAATCTGATCTCACAGAATTCAGGCAAATTAGTGCCTTCCAGATCAACTTGTCAGAAACCTTTCATTCAAGGGCACCTAGGGCTCCATAAAAATTTTGCTACAAGTTATTATTTACTAATGTGTCGTTATTCCCAAGTAGTTTGTGGATTCATACATTGTGGCAACCTGTTTTGTTTACCTTCTTATCTAAGTTGAAAGAGGTCCCATACAATATTGGTTTATGAACTAATGAGCTTTTTATAATACTATCAAAAGTATATGAAATATAAACGGCAGTAGTATTGTGTTGATTAAATTTATTATCATAAATATAATTATAACATAAACAACATCCAATCAATATTAAAGAAAATATTGACTTTACCTACTACCACTATTAAACCATTCTATTTGAATTTTTCATTGCCTAAGGGTTAACAGTAAAAGATAAAGAGCAATACCATAATTCACTAGACTCAACCACTCTTGAATCAATGATTAAACAGACCTCTCTATATACTTCACTTTGGGAAGAAACGTGTGTGTGTGTGTGTGTGTGTGTGTATCTGTGTGGTATCTTATTTAATGGATATTGTAAAGATACAGTGGCCAAGACACAATATACATTCAACATGAAGTCTACTAAGTAAACAGCACTATCAGTGAGCAGAGAAAGCTTGGTGGAAAAAAAAATGGGGGTCCACAATGACTTGAACAACGACAATTCAGAAGAAAGCTTCACAGTCCAGGGAATCCAGGTAGCATAGGACAGCTCCTTAGGTGTACTTAGGGCAAGAATGAGTCAGGGGAACTGTGGATTTTTACTCTCGTCATAGTTGGAGTTGGTCTCAAGGCACTGATAATTACAGCAAAGTAGGGCATACTCTTATAAGCAATAAGGACTCACATACATATTTTGAGCTGAGGAATGTTGCTTGGCAGTATATTTCGGGAATACAGCTTAAGCAATGGCTTAACAAATGAACTGTGTGTTGTAGGAGTTTGTGAACAATGTTGGTGGTGAACAGAAGTGAGGATGATTGTCATATTGAGTAGCTGTTACTTAGGTTAATGTAAGTTGTAGGAAACAAGCAATTAAGTCTATAGAGATGGAAAAGAAATAGGCTCTAAATAGGTAAGAAAGAACAAGGCAGTGGGGGTGACCAACAAGTAGAGACTATATGAAGAAGCTGCTGAGGAATGGATGATCACTTATCTAACTCAAGGGGAACATCAGATAAAGCCAGAGTTTAAAACTGTAGTTTCCTGGAATCAAGGAATATTAGTCTTACAATAAATATATACTATAATCTTTCTCACTAGAACATAAATCTAAGATAACCATAACACTTGCCCCCTAACCACCTGCTTAATAAATGTTTCTCCGTACGTAGGTTTTGTAAAGCACTTGGCAAACATTTTCAAGGACCTTAATTAGTAGCGTACAAAGGAAGGGAGAGGAAAAGGGCAGAAAAAGGACAGAAGATTCTGGAAGAAAGGCCCTCTGAGAAGTGGGTCTCAGCATGTACAACACAGCATGTAAGTCCTACTCTGCTTCAGCTTCCGGAAACTTCTCAATGCCACCCTTCATTTGATAAGCATTTCTAAAACTACTAGAAGCATGTTTAGTCTCTTCTTTTGTTGATCTACCCCTGAGAGCAGTGCATATATACATATGTGTGTGAGTGTGCAGCATGTGTGTGTGAGCGTGCAGCATGTGTGTGTGTGTGTGTGTGTGTGCGTGCACACGCGTATGCACAGTGGGTCAAGAAAAACAGCTATGTCTGTATTTTTCCCTTTTGGATGCTTTTCTTAATGACTTAAGTTGACGTAGGAGTTTCTCAGAAAGCATTGGAAACACTTGAGCTTAAGGAGATTTAGAAAAGAAGAGAGAGAGAGTGAGAAAGAGAGAGAGAGAGAGAGAGAGAGAGAGAGAGAGAGAGAGAGAGAGAGAGAGAGAGAGAGAGTTTTCCCAAGGTGATATGCTTTGGAAAGAGGATTGTGAAGGAAGTTCATTCTTTTCACTTCAAACTTTCAACAAAATGCACAGAGCCTGTTCTTCTCGCTGCCTGCTGCTGCCGCCATGACAATGACAGCAGCACAGAAGAGCTGGCAGCCGCTGCCACAACAGCTGGGCACCTTCATCCCCAAGCCCCAGACTGCACAACGGTGGCCACAGAGTTAAGAGACCAGACAGACAAGAAGCTGCATGCTTCCTACCTCTCGTCCCTTTTCTTGTTTGGAAAGCAAGCATAATGTAGCTTTGTAAAGGAAACATTTCTTATTTTTCCTTGACTCAAACACTGAGCAGTCTCCCAACTATAAGAGTTTGCAACAGAAGAGAACACTTCCACAGCCCCTAAAAGATGCTGGGTAGAAGCTCTTTCCTATGCATGCTTTGCACCTGCCTGCTTGTGGTGTTTTTCTTCTGGGGTACTGCCTTCCCCTCTTGATATTTAAGAGGAAAAGATGAGATCAGAAAAGCAGCCTATTTCTGGACATTCTGCATGGCTATGTACATTTCCTTTTGGAGGAGGAAAAGTTTGAAAGGTTAAAAAAATGCCCTTGCTCTGACTTTCAAAGAAATATTAACAACTCCCTAAAATACCTCATAATATTGCTAAGAGGTAGGGGAAGAAGAAAAAAGCAAGGGAAATGTCTTTTAAGCAGTTAGTCCTTGAGCTTCTTTCAATTTCTGTTGCTGTTCTTTTCTCTATCAATGATGTAATCTGACAGTATCCATGATATCACCATAGATCTATAAATTATGAGATAAATTTATGCACCTCACACTTAATTTTCTTTGTGGTTGAGACAGAATATAAGATAATACCTGTGCTGCTAATATATCACAACAGTCTTAGATTACATTTTAGTGACTCAACCCACAATTTAAAAAGAAGGATTTATTATTCTCACATATTTGTGCACTTGATTTTTCTTATTTTGTTTTCTTTTCATTATTTGTTAGTTCCAAAATAAGAGATGCTAACAGAAACACGGCAGATCAAGTAAAATAGAGACAGGTATAATACTAGGTACCATTCAATCCAGCTCTGAACTAAATTATTGCCTCACTATACACGATGCTAAGATTATGATTTAGTTTGTACTTAAACAGCCATTCCACTTACTTATCCTAAATTTAAAGTACTTTTGTGCAAAAAAGTATTTAAAAGTATTCTTGTACATAAACTTTTCTGAAAACATTTCATTTTCCTTAGGATGCAACCTTTAGCTTCCCCCAAAGAAGTCAAATTCAGAAATGTCTTTAGTTTCTTTGATTGAACATAACTTGTTATATGCCTTTCTACTCCCTGTTCTTTGCACTTTCTCAAAGCCATGCTCTGATTTATTTGCAAAATCAAGATGATTGCAATTCTTAGCCAATGTTAATAAGGATAGCTGAAATACTCCTGAGGAGTCACCATAGATAATCTGATTATCAAAAATTTTCTTAGTAAGGGAAGTGAGGCACTAAGAGCTAGACCCAAATACAAAGTGGGTAGGACACAGAACATGTATTTGTGAGGGACCGTTGTCAAGGAATCAGAACAGAGATACTCAATGTGGGTCTGGAAAGGCCCCAAGAGAACTTGGCCCCTCCTTACTGGGTGGTCTGCCCAGTTTGCCCACCTCCCTGTGAGTCTCACATGGTCCTCCAGTATCCTGGTGGTCCAACAGCACCACCATTCCCCGAAACCCACCTTCATTATTGTCAGACAATAATGAACAGGTCAATAAACACCATGAAAATTCAGTATGCACAGAGACATACCCAATACACTGGTGAATAGCTTCCACCTCTTCCTTTCTAAACTCCCATTTAATCCAAGCAGAAACCCATTTTTAAAGGCATCAAATGTATGTCTGTATACACACACACACACACACACATATATATATGTGTTTATAAAAAGGACATTGGCATATCATCTACCTACCTTTCCGAAAACTAAAACACCTTTTGATTCTTCGGTATGTTGTTTTAGGAATGAAAGGAGTTGATGCTAAGGCCCCTGAAGGGCGTCCCCCAGAATTTCGATCTTCAGGCATCATACAGGCCCCAAGTTCTCACCCCAGTCAGTCCTGTTCAGGCTTCTTTAAAACCTGCCTCTGTGCAGAACTCCACAGACACTCCTTTGCATGTTTGTTTATTTGTGAGGATTGAAGTGCTGATTACTAGAACTCCAAGGTTTTAATGATCCAGGTCTTGGCTCAAGGGTAAGTTACCAATTCTCACTGAGTCATTTCTGGGGTAAAAGAAATCTCCTTCCTTTAGTTTTCTTTAATCCAAGGAGTTTTTTAGGTGTTCTTTTTTCTCTTTTTTTTTCCTTTCTTTTCTTTTTTTTTTTTTTAAGAATTTGGAGACATTTCAAAATGTCACAGAAAAGTACTGCAGCAAGCAAGCTTCACCTCTTATTTGATCAGCAGGAATTGTTTAGTTTGGTTTTGTTTTATTAAGAACTATCTTCTCAGCTGGACTGAAATTCCTTTGGGGAAGTCAGCAAATAGGGGGGGAGAGGAACAATGAGCAAAATCCCCTCTGGAACACTTCAGGACAATCCTTGATGGCTCCTTTTATCTGAGCAAAAGGGCAGTAAAACCATGGCACCTTCTCCAGAAAGCTGCAATGTTTCAATGCATGATAGATTCCTTGCAAAAGAACTCTCCTGCTCCTTTTACAGCGCCCCTCAGCCTTTGATGGTCTCTGCGGGCTTTTTCCTTCCGGCTTCCAACTCCCCCAAGGAATCACCTCGTCAGAATAGTCCAACGCCTACTCCCGGAGGCTGCGCTGGGAGGAGGCTCTGGGTTTTGCAGGAGCTTCTCCTCCTCCTCCTCCTCCTCCTGTCTGCTTCTGCGCCCCTTTTCTCAATGAGAGCTGGGCGGGAGCTGGCAGGGCTGTGGCTAGCCTCACAGCTGTGGTTGTTGCTGCTGCTGCGGCTGCCTTCAGTGCCTACTGGTCACAGGCAGCAGGTGCAGTCACAACATGAGGGGAGGAGGGAAAGCCATGCTGCACTGTGAGTCCCTTCCCTCTTGTTTTGACTTTGCATTGACCTTGGATCTCTAGTCCGGTGTAGCACCTTTACAGCTGGCTAGCTCAACTCTCCTCCCCTCCCCCATTCCCTCCCTGAAATTACACAGCACCAAACTACTTGTGGGGGCGGGAGACTTTTCAGCCCCTCCACCCCCATACTTTCTCTCTTCCTACACTAGATTTATTATTTTCCAAATATTGTGCAAACGATTCAGTCCATCAGTACATGCCATGTCAATGTACCTATCCTTAAAAACACATATCTTTCATAGGTATATATGTGTCTATAAAATTTTAAAAAAGCAAACACAATAGCAGGGTCTACAGGTATCACTGCAAGAAATCAATTTATGCATGTATGTATTGCTGTACATACATATTTATTTCACTGGCTATTGTCTAATAATTTGACATTGAACATTTCCCCCATATTCCTGCATGAAGCTTCTCTACTCCAGGACCCCCCCCCCCCCTCCATGTCCTCCAACCCTTTCAGTCTTCCTCACTAAATAATTTACTCACTGGGTTAATCATTCATCTACCCGGCTGTTCCACAGTAGATTTGGAATGCTAGTGTTTTAACCCGAACTGACCTTCATGGCCTCTCTCTCCTTTTCAGCCCTTCAGAAGGTCCTGCACAAAACTGTGACAAGTGTTAAAAAGGTCCTTCCATTCCCATCATCTGACCAGCAGGCTGGTCAGGTAATCCTGTCACCGAACAGACCCTGGTGAGTTGTTTCTGTTCCAAGGTGCAGATTTTGCCTTTACCTGTGTCTCACAGCTTGCTGTTAGGAAGAGCAAGTCACCCAGTCTAAGCCAGCACTTCCAAGATAGAGGAGATGCTCAGAAAGAAGTCCCTGAGCCAACTGGAAATTTACTGACCTGTATACTGATCTGGAGGGAGATGGCTCATCACCAGACTTTAGAAGTGGGAAGTTAAAGAAAACATGTCCAATTTTCTTATTTTATAAGTAAGAAAACTAAATGTGAGAGAAGGTGAGTCGTCTATGCAAGATCACATATCTGGCCTCAAACTGAGGCTAAATCACATCGATTCTGTACCATGGATCAAACCTGGCTTGTTAGGCCAATAGTTATTCATTGTTGCTATTGTTTTGCTGGATCTCTGACTGGATTCTTTTCATGAAGAAAGGAACTACACACACACACACACACACACACACACACACACACACACACACACTCACACACACACACACACACACCCAACGAAAAACAATAGATTCCTACTCTACTCATCCTAGTCTGGGCACCTCCATGAAAATTTCCTCAAAAAATAATTGGAAAGAAAGCCAGTGAAAACAAACCAGTGAACACAAGGAAGAAAAAAATGAAACTAATCTCCAGCAAAACTAAAAAAAAATGTTGTGACAATCCAATTTCACATTTTATTTATTTCTTTAGTTAGTTAGTTGGTGCCAGTCCTGGGCCTTGAAGGCACTGGCCCTGAGCTACTTTTGCTCAAGGCTAATATTCTACCACTTGAGCCACAGCTTGGTGTCTGGCTTTTTGGTGTTAAATTGGAGATAAGGGTTTCACAGACTTTCCTGCCCAGGCTGGCTTTGAACCAGGACCCTCAGATCTCAGCTTCCTGCATAGCTAGGATTACAAGCTTGACAAGCACTCAGTTTCACATTTCATTTTTAAAGAGACAGTGTGCCTTTAAGCCTTGTTCACAGGGAAATACCTGATTATGGATGTTTTTATACTGATTACAAGGTTGAGGTATATAGCGTCAATATCAAGGTTTGTTTTCAAGCATAAATTTTGCACTTCCATTGATTATTTTCTCCCATTTGAACATTTGTTATAAATATTTGTTATTTTAATGAAAAGTTTTATGTTTTATGATTTTGTTTTCATTACACAGTTGTTAATTTTAGGCAAGTGAAATGCTAGGCTATTATAATGTCCAAGAGGAAGAAATTTAGCAGGCATATGCAACCTAAACAAAAATAAGATTAAATGCCTACAAATTTAAGTTTATAAAAACACAAATTATGCCACATCCACAGAATTTTCCAGCTCTGTAATAGATATATTTTTAATGTATCCAAATGTGGTATACTCTAAAGTTTAGACAGATAGGTCAGCATCTCCTCCAAACACCTTAACAGAAGGTATTTAAGCAGTAACCTCGGCTGTCTGTGAGTAGTAGGATGGAAGATGGAAAGGAAGACATCTTTGTATAGGAATGATATGTTCTGGGGTTCATAACTAAGACAGGAAGGGAAGTATGTTCTCATATGGAAGGCTCTGGTGTCAACCTGTGTACTTTAACAGTTTTGTTGATTTATAATTCATATGCCTCAGACTCCACTCATTTAAAGTGTATCATTCAGTTTTTTAAAAAGAATATTCACTTAGTATATGTGGAACCAGTTCTAGAACATTTCCATCATCTCAAAAGGCAATTGTATATATTTTGGTTATCTTTCTCCTGTACTCCAACTCTCTGTGGTAACCCTACACGATCACTCATCTATTCTCAGACTCTATAGATACCTGTGTTCTATACTTTCCTATGGATGGAATCACATAATGTATGGAATTTTGTGACTGGCTTCTTTTACTTAATATAATGTTCTTAAGACTCATACATGACGCAGCATGTGTTAGTGCTTTTTTTCTTACGGCGAGCAAAAATTCACTCTATGGATGTTCAGACATTTATCACATAATAATGGAGAAAGGTTCTAAGAAACAAGTTGCTAGGCAATTTACAGAGTATTCACAAAGTAAGATGGCTCTGATGTCCCTAGGTGAACATATCTTATAGAACCACTCATGGGATGCAGTTGTCATTGACCAAAATTTTATTATATGGCACATGACTATGCTATGCATAGTTCATCCATGGAGATAGAAATTTGGTTTGTTTTTACTTTTTTTTGGGGGGGATCTTTTTGAGCTGTCAACTCATCTATTTTTGAATAACTGAAAATTTTGCATTAATATGCTAAAGTCTATGCTATTGATAAGGTGTGAACTTGTAACTGAGGACTTTTTATTTTTATTTGTATTTATTTTTATTTTAAAGGTGAGGAACAGAGAGGTTGCAGTTACATAAGTTAGGTCAGGAGTACATTTCTTTTTGAACAGTGTCACCTCTTTCTTTATTTTCTCCCAGGTTTCTTTTCCTTCCCAACTCCCCTCCCCTATATAGTCCTTTCCAACATAATATCTAGTGAGTATCACTGATGCATTTGTTCACCCTTTGTCCCTTTCATTTCTATGCTTCACTTTACCCTTCCCCAAACAGACAGACTTACATAGAAGACAAAAAGTACAGAAATCAAAAACAGTCACCTGAGGGAAAAACACAAAAAGTAAAATAACCACAAAAAACTCATTTTTTTTCTTGGAGTTCATTTTGATAAAAATCATTTTATATGATTTTATGGACATATTGAGCCTTTGTGATGTTCTCCTAAGAACATCCTATTTTGGATTTTATTGCCACGCCAGGAATAATCGATTAGACTATTATGCTGTAAAACAGGAAAAGTTCAAAGGTTTTCTTCCTGGTTCTGTGCTCATGGTGTGACACGGCAAGTTATTCATCTAACCTGGGTCTAAGTGAGCTATCACACAGAATATGGAACACAACTATAACCGTAGCTTAAAATTATTCCAAATCAGTGGAAAACTACTGCGTAAAGGAATATTAAGTGGAATCTTAATTTATAATATCAAGCAGTTTTTCAGCTACATAAATTTATTGTTCAAAACTTATTGAAACATTTCTATAAAATTCAATCCATGAGCATAGAATTGATGAATATGAAATAAACATTGGCAGCCCTAGATTATGCATGACAGAATGTAGTACCAACCTGAAAGCTGACCCTGACAAAGTCATTCTTTTACTCCGTGGAATCACAAAAGAGTTCTTGAAAATTATATAAGTGCTTTAAAAGCTTTCTGGTAATCTGCTAAACCTCTCCAATTCAAGGACAGAAAGAGAAGTTTTAGTCTTTGAAGCATTTTTTTCTATTAACAGTGCTAAAATATATTTCCTGGAAAATAAATCTGAAGTATGTATTTGTAAAAACGCCAAGTATATTGTCCAGGATAAAGGATATAAACAAGTCACTGTAACCTACTAATAGGAATTCCTATTCAGTTCTAGATTGACAGATTCATATATAGCTCTTCCTAATCTCACTAGAATTCCACTGAAAATTCTGGGCTACCCATAGCCCCTGATATTTGGAGACATGGGTTGGATTTTGTTCATTTTTTTTCTTGATTAAAGAACAGAAGAGGTAGGAAGGGGAGAAGAAATAACACACTTGATGGAAATAATTCCTTGACAAAAACACTTGGATCAGCAGATAGTAAGGCACCTCCTGAATTCAAGAGGCCCAGGAATTTGATGACAAGGGGGGAGAAAAATGAAGCTGTTTTTACAGGAACTTTGAAAAGTCACATTCTCATATCCTTGGCACTGAAGGTGGCAAACTCAAGCTGGACAAGTGCATGGTGTTCATTTATGCCAGAGCAATCTCATGGTAAGGCACTGAAGTGGGCCTTCAGCTCGTTACGCTTTTCAAATGTTTCACGTAGTCATTTATCATTGTATGCTTTGAATAGGGTAGCAAAATACATGGGCATGCAAATTAAAATGCAGTGACAATATCACTTACTATATCAGTAATTAGCCTGGCAAAATATTACAAACCAGATTGTTACTCAGCAAGCTGGGATAGATGGTCACCTGGTTAGGAACCTCTCCTTTCCCTAATAGAAGACAGTGCTCAAAACAAGACAATTTGTTAGTCTATTAAAATAGCAAAATGTCTTCAGTGACCATTTACTACTTTAGTAGATTTGTCTAAGCTTATTTATTTATTTATTTATTTTTTTATTGTGAAAATACTGAAGCTTTTTTTTTTTAATTATTACTTTCTTAGAATTTTTGTGCTGGTACTGGTACTTGTGCAGGGCCTGCATGCTGTCTTTGAGCATTTTT